AAAAAAAAAAAATTAAAAAAAAAAAAATAAAGTGAGGCTACTTTTAGTAATATGGGGGAGCCATATGGAGCCATACCGGACTTGTTACTGAAGTATACCTACAGGTAGTTTTCCCTATGATCAGAGCCGTCCAATTAGAATTTTTTTCCCCTAAATTTCACTGAAGTGATCAATGGTACCACTTCATCCTTAGAAGTCAGTCAGGTCAGCCTAAACCACTGGCCATGGTAGTTATACATGACAGAATTTCTCCTTGTGAGACAGGCAGACTCTTTGCAATCACAAATAAATCCTATTTACTTGGATCAAAGCCTCTGGCCAAGTAAAATGGTTTATGCAGAAATTTAAGGAGGAAGCTCTGTGACTTTTTAAAGTAGAGTCTTGACAGTTCATGGGATTTATTTAAGTCCTGGACCCTGAGGGGCATAGTTGAGATCAATCTTGCTCATTAAAATCTTGTTTATAGTATCTTTAAATAAATGCAGAGGAGACAAATTGAATAGATTTGATCCTATTTCCTGTCAGTAAGATTAACCAGAGTGGTCTTAGGACTGGCATATTTAGGGGGAAATTTGCCAGAAGTCAACAATGTTGTAGAAGCAAAGAATGAATATTTTCGGGAGACAATTTCCATAGGTTTCATGTCTTATTGTGCATTATGGAAGGAGCAGCTCTCCCTAGATAAGACAGGTTTATTTACAATGAAGATAGTGTCTTTTTTTTGGGACATATACCAAGCATGTTTACTTAGAAGCCCATCATAAAAGACACATATTCCCTAAGCCGGGGGTTTCTTAGCTGTCATATGAGCCTGTTTCATGTATAGCATCCGCCTGAGTGGCTCCACATAGCCCTGTGGGACATGAGGTCAAGAGGAACCAACATTAACTTGAGGCTCATGCTGCCTGCTTCACTATGAGTATTAAAGTCCTCTCTCTAAAGGAGTATAGTGCTTACTGCCAGTACCCATGAAATTGATGCAAGCTCACACAAGTTAGCTTGTAAGTAGGGTAAAATCTCAGATGCCTTGTAGTTCTTGACGATATTATATAACAGCCCCAAGAGGTAAGAGAGCCTGAAAAATGTAGTTTTTCAACTGGAAGTATTGGTCTCTCAAATAAACTTGGCATTTTGTTGGCAAATCTGAAAGGAAGGAAGGTTATTTTGCAGGCAAGTACCTGTTTGTGCTGATGAATCAGCTACTTTGGCCCAATGGCTGTCCTGTTTCCATACTTCCAATGATAACCAAATCTTCCAACTGACATACAGTATTTTTTCCTTGAATGATACTAATATGTTAAAGATCTGCAGGCTTGATGTCATTGTCTCTCTTTAATAACGATGATTCTATGTATTTCTTTTGTAATTTTTAAAAAACATTACAGTTTGTCAGAAATTAATCTTATCCTTATTTCTACAGCATCACAATATTCTTAATGGTTGAAAGCAAGGACTAAGTATGAGACTATCATTGTTTGAATTCAGGCTTCTCGACTTATTTGCAAGTTACCTGATGTTCTTTTCATTTGCAAAAATCATCATCATCATCACCATCACCGTCATTATCTACCGCAGCAGGCTGCTGGGCAGCTATGAGGCTTAAATGAGATGATACATGCAAGGCACTTGGAATAGACCCTGGGTATAATAAATGCTCTCTGTAAGATTAGCCCTATTAATTATATTCTCGGGTAATAGTTCATTAAATTTCAGCTCAGATACTACCTTAGTTGTGTTTTGTGAGCAAGTTACTCAGTTTTTCCCCCCTGTTTTCCTATTTGTAAAATTGTGATAATAGTATTACCAACTTCATAGAGCTTTTGAGATTACATGAGCTAATGTAAAATACTTAAGTTTAGGGCCTGGCCAATTAAACACTCAGAGATAATATTTTTAATATTTTTCTTGCTGGAATACTTGTTCACACTTTCTGTTTGAGTGACTGTCTCTCATACACTGTGAAAGTTAGCTAGGATTTTGAGGCAACATTCAAGGTTAAAGTCCATCCGTAAAGCCTTCTTTGATCACTGCTACCAAAAATTCAACACCTTCTTCATTACACATCATTTGCATTCACTTTACACCATTCACGAGACTTAACACACTATTTTTTCGATTAAAAGGGTCATAAATATTTTACCTCTTTTGTTAATTGTAAGCTTCTTAAAGGCTAAGACTACATTCTGTAAAACTTTTTATCTCATATTTTGCATTGCACTAAGTGAGCAATGAATATTTCTTAAATGACACAGTTTTTAAAAAGCTCAACACTTCCTAAACTCTTTCAAGCCTTTTAAAAATGTCTTGAATCAATCCATTCAAATAAAGTTTCCACATTTTTTTTTTCCGGTTTCATCCATTTACTTAGAATCAAAGACTTGAATTTTCTTTGTTAAGGAATTTAAAGTAGCCTTTTATACTGTGCCCTTAATCATAATTAACTGCTTTTGAAAAAAGTGTTTCTCTAATTAACTGGATATAGAAGCCTATTCTTTTTTTTCTTATTTTTCAAGTATATTTTTATAAGCAAAATACATCTTCAATAACATTTGGCTCCAGTAGGCTGACTTATTTCATCCACAGATGATGCTTAATCCATTCTTTAATGAAAGCAATTCCTGATAACCAAGATAAAAGTCAAGTATAATTCCAATGTTTGAACTTAAAATGATGACATTGATGAATGGATATGTAAATACATGTAGCCCTCTTCAAGGTAGAAGGTATTTGGATAGCTTGATGTTTATTTTGGACTCTAGCCCAGTTCTTTACCAGCAAGATTTATTGTGATTATCAAAGTGAAATTTTCTTTTATTAAACAAGAGTATTACTGGAAATAATTTTAAGGATACAAGCAGGGTGATTTTTCATGAATTATTAAATTAAAAAGTAAGTCAAAAGCAAGTGTATCATCAGAGTAAAAGAAAATACTTTTTTTTTTAGTATTATTATTTCTAAAACAAACCTGCTTCTAACAGAGGACTCAATCATACCTTGCATTTATAGCCATCTTATTTACTCAAAGGAAAATAGTGGAAAAGAGAATAAGGGACTTCAAATGTATGTAAACGATTCTCTATGACTATGAATTTAGTGTACATTTTCAAAAACATTTACCTTATCAGTAATAAAAATGTCTTCTCTTAGAAGAATTTCCTAACTGTAATCCATGTAAGGACTTGGAAACAAGATGGCAAGGGATTTTCTTTCCTCATGGATAGTTATAATGAGAGAGTAAAAAATCTCGTTTTAATGTTGTAAAAAACTTTCATCAAAAATCACTTTTCTGTTCTTTATATTACTGAACTATTCTGACAATACTAACTAAAAAATGTCCCCCACTCCTCGTGCCAAGAAAGATTCACAGTTTAAAAATTAATTATTTCAAGTTATGCTTGAATGGAGATCATAAGAACACCATTTGAAAGGTCATAAAAATAATAGATAACCTGACTGGAAAAAAACTGACAAAGGCATACTCAACATATTGTTTCCAGAGGTAGAGTTTACTGTGTCCACTAAGGAATCCTGTCAGGGAATTTCAAACTTGTGTCCCATCTTTACTTTTACTGATGAGCCAATTATATTTTACTTTCTTTTTGTTTATTTTATTCATTTCAGTTTTGGTCTTTGTTCTGTGATCCCTAAATAATATGAACTAAGCAACAAAAATAAGGATTTCCGTCCTGGAGACAAGTCTGCTTCTAGAGAGTGCCATAGACTTCTGGCTGAAATCTACCCGTCAAGTTTAATTCTGCTCTGGCTGCCAAAACCCCATGAGACCTTTGAATATTTAGGGCTAAATGTAACTGCCACTTGCTCTTCCTCCACAGGAGCTTTATTTGATGCTTTCCAGATTTCTGCCATCCTGTTTGTGCACATTTCTATTGATGCCACTTTCTGGCTTGCTCTTGTTTAACTTCTCCAATATTGTTGACAATTCTGGGTAGATGATGACAAGACAACCATTATTTTTAAGTGTTTATTTATTTATTTGCTAAGAAAAAATAAGTTGTGCTATAGAGGGTGAAATCGTCTTGATTTTTTAACATAAAAAAGTAAAAACTAGATCCATCCATACTGAATGGAAGACAATCTTCCGAGACTCTTCTTTAAGGCAAATCTCTAAAGAAACATGTTTCAAACATATATTCTTCGTGAAGACCTGCTAGCTTTATCTCATTTGATTATATCCATCTCCATTCCCCCTAATGACAAAAATTGGAGAGAAACTACATTTGAACACCCTTGGGTTCAGTCAGTTAGAAAACATTCATTCAGGAAAAAAATATAGCTATCACTTTTACTTACTTTTCTTAATGTAACACAAGTAAAAATACTGAGACAAAGTATCTTCTCCTTGAATTGCAGGAAATTTAGTGCAAATGCTTTGTTTCATCTTGGGAGGTTATATAAATTGTCTTTATACCACTGGGCATTTTGTGGAATTTCATATTGTAGACAATATGCCATGAGAACTATAAAGCAATATAGTCTCAGTGACTCCAAAGAGTGTAAGCATGTAAGCAAGATGTGTCAGATTTTGGATTTTTTGGAACCAAGAAATACAAACAGGCATTTATTTTCAATGTTCCAGGATCTGTCCAAAATGGTGTTTTATTATTACATAAAGATATAAATGTTTTTTGTAAGGGGAGAAAGACATTATTGTCTTTATGACTTCTCATTATTTGAAAAAATCAAGATATATTAGAATTAGACTGCCTTTAGAAACATTTAGAAACATTTATAAACTGAGCATTAGGAAGAGGTATTTTTTAATTTGACTTCAAAGTGATTTAATATAAACGACTGAACTGAAAGCCTTAAGAAAACTTTTTGTTCTTCCTGCTAGATTTTTTAAGATTATGACAGAACAACAACAACAACAAAAAACCAGATAACAATGGATAAGTTCCTTGAAGTTTTTCAAGATTTAATTAAGTTGCTTGCCATGCAAATACCAGCATACAAAACTCACGCAACTCCCAATCACTTACCGTATTCACTATCATAGAATATGATGAATTTCTGCCAGGCATATTCTGTTACCACTCTCAGGATAACGTCATTTAAGTAGACAGGTGGGCGAACAGAGAGAGTGTAGTCATCATTCCTGTTGCTCCGGGTGAGTCCACAGCCACTCCTCGGGGTCCCAGCTGTTGAGCGCTGTATGAAGAGGTGGGGGATATGCATGGCATCTGCCAGAGACTGGAGGGAACCTGCCGATGTGCAGCCAATGGAGCTGACCAGGGCCAAGATGCCTTGATTCATAAGTTCACAGGCTGTAAGAAATCACAGTAATATTTAAATGTCTCTGGGTTTCATATAACTTCCCTTTGGGAATAACTGTGAATAAAATTTATGGACTTATTACACAACTATGGATTTTTTTTTTTTTTTAGTGAACATGTCCATGAAGAAATCCTCAAATTAAAAATTGCTATTGGGATTCAGCTAACAAACTGCCCTTATTAGCTATTTGACCTTGTACAAATTATTTAGCTTTTCCTAGTCTCAGTTTTGTCATCTGTAAAGGGGGCAAAATAGCATGAATCTTGCAGGATTATTGCTAGGATTGGAGAAAATTCAATGCCTGCTATTTGCCTTTCACATAATAACACTCAAAATTAGTGACAGCTATACTTTTATAATTATCAATGTATAATTCAGGGAAAAGATAATTCCTCACTGAGTAAATAATACAAGGTTTTCAAAAGCTGATAATATGTAAATTGGTGAATGAGTGAAAAAGAATATGAAAGGCCTTCATATGGAATTTCTGGCCACAGAAAAGAGCTATTCTGGTATCTAAAGCTTTGATAGCACTTTGTCTCTCATTACACTGGAAAAGTGAAAATGTTTTTGTTCTTTTCCTTGACAGTCAGAAAACTCCTGGTCAAATCAAATACTAAGTTTCAGCAATTATTTCATTCACTAAATTTCATTCTGGTTTCTAGCTGTACAATTTCTAATCTCTACTATATGATTTATGATCTCTGTTGTTTTAATTTCATTTTAACTACATTGTGTATGCATATATGCTTACTTCAAAAAATATTTAAAACTGGATCAAATATAAATTATAAGCACATATAAAGACACACCATATAAAGCAAAAAAAGTTAATAACTCTTAACTCCTTCTTGTTTTTAAGTAATCTCTACATCCAACGTGGAGCATGAACTCATGATCCTGAGACCAAGAATCATGTGTTCTACTAATCAAGCCAGCCAGGTGCCCAATTTTTTCTTTTGTTTTGTTTTGTTTTTTTTTTTAGCTTTTTAAATTTTTTATTTAAATTTTAATTTTTATATATTTATTTTTAAAGTAAGGCTCTATGCCCAATGTGGGGCTTGAACTAACAACCCTGAGAATAAGGGTCAGATGCTCTACTGACTGAGCCAGCCAGGAACCCCTTAATAACTTGTAACTCATTTAATAAGTCTTACTAAGAGTTAAGAGATCTGAGAGATCTTATATGTTAGTCTTTAAGAGCAAGAGATTAGAAATAAAATCAAAAGTAAATTCAGGAGGAATCGAGGTAAAATAAATTCCATTTGAGAAGGTCAGTAATTATAATTGGTCCAGGTATTATTCTAGATTTTAGACATTCTAGGTATAATATTCTCAATACTTACACATTATTATAATCTGTTTTACAGAGTGTTTGAAACATAGATGATAAGTACCTCTATGTAATTAATTGGGCAGTTAATGAAGGCTGACAAAGTGTAAGTTTAGAAGTACTATACTAATGACATGCACATAAACACCAAATACATTTAATTATGATTAATTTTAAGCCAACCAGCACATACAAAATAAATTAATAATTAGCAGGGACATTATTTTCAAGCATAAGACAGGTAATATGATTTCAAATAAATCTGAAAGATAGCATCAGGGATGAATGTTTCTTAGACCATAACAGATTGAGATTGAAGTTTCAGTAAAAATGATAGAACCTACTCACGTTTGTGAATTCAACATTTATAAAAGCTATATGAATTTACAGTTACGCTTCCAATGGATTTAGGCATAAACATTGGTCAGAAGTTTGTTTCATTATTGTAGGAAATAAGGCCACTATTGATTGATCTATCACAAAAGTTATAAAGTTACATATAACAGAAGTTGAGATAAAAAATTCAGTTTAAGTATTACATTTGTCAAATACGAAAATTGTCTCTTTTAATCTTCATTATTTAGAAATAAAGCTTTGAAGTCATATATAAATCATTATTTAGCATATAGATTTGTTTTAGTATATACTCTGTGATTTCCTCAAACCAACTATGTTACTTCCTATTAACCTCTGTTAGTAACAACACAAACTAATCAAGTATTAGAAACAGTTGTTATTAATATACATGCAAATGTGTTATTTTTAGATTATTTATCATTTGGTATTATCCATCCTACTACACATATAAGCAAGAATAACTGAAAATTCCCTATAAAATAAAAACAGGAATCATCACAATTTGCAATAAAAGCCACACAAGGGACGCCTGGGTGACTCAGTCAGTTAAGTGGCCAGGTTGGGCTCAGATCATGATTTCATGGTTCATGAGTTCAAGTCTTGTGTCGGGCTCTGTGCTGATAGCTCAGAGCCTGGAGCCTGCTTCATCCTGGAACTCTATTTTGAGAAAGATTTTGAGACTTAGCAAGAAAGAGTACCAAAATCATTGTGTTAATTTTCTCAAGGAAGAGACTGGGAGAGCAGCAGCCTGGAAGTCTTAGACATGCATCCCACTTATAATATGAAACCCTCTATTGTTCACAGTTGTCAAGAAAGCATACACCACGCCCTTAAAAAAAATATAAGTCCCAGGTCTCTAACTCATTGTCTAATATGCTTTTCACCATAGCGAGCAAATAATATTGGTACCCTTAAAATTTTGCTTGACAAAGAAAAGATAGACATAGATTTCCATAGGGAAAAGCTTAATTGGAGACTATCTACTGCCAACATTTGGCAAAAATAGGTTGATCCACTAAAGAGGGAAGGAACAGTCCACACACCTAAAAGAAACTGAAGCTGGTTGAGTCAAAACACAACCACGGTTGGGTACATAAGAGAATGGGCCTACAATGCAACCTATCAAGGCTATATTTGACATCCATTTTGTCAATATAAAATGTTGGTTGAATAAGAGAAGATACAAATTTATTTGCCTCGGAGAGTGACCATTCATAGAGTTCTATATAAATGTTAGCATAAAAAATAAATTAAAATCCTTCCTTCCTCCTTCCTCCACCCCCCTTCCTTCCTTCCTTCCTTCCTTCCTTCCTTCCTTCCTTCCTTCCTTCCTTGTTTTAATAACTGGAATTAAAAACACTTTCACCCTTTCGGGTCACTCAGCAGTTATAAAAATGAAGTTCTCTGTATAAATGTATAAATTTAAGTTAAATGATATTCTTCATGATATTCTAAATGATTTTTTTTATCTCTGAAACTAATCAGTTTGAGTCTTATTTTTCTTATTAAGTAAAATGGGATTAAAAGTAAAATCTATATAGGGCCTTGAAATCAGTTACCTCAAGGAGAACTCAGTGAAATATTTTTGGATAACACCATCTTTCTTTATTCCCTATGATATATTTTCTAACTTATGTATATTGACCAAATTGCCTCAATTTATACTGAGGAATTTTATAACCTCTTCCAGTGATTTTAAATCACATAAGGACTTTAGCACACTCCATTCATATATTTATTCTTCAACACACATTTACCAACTTTAAACATGAGCCAGGACTTCTCCGGAGATAAGAGAATGCATAGGCAGATTCCATTCTCAAAGATCTCCCAATCTATTCACCATAGTGTTTGTAAAATCTCCCCTGTGTCAGAATTCAAAGTGGAAATTTAAAAAAATACACATATCCACTCCTAGAAGTTCTACTTTATTCATTACAGGCTAATGTATTTGCATTATGATGTATCATCTCAGTAGTTCTGATGTGTAACCCTTTCTGTAAAACATGAGTCTGGTGGGTTGTAACTGCAATACTCTTTGATGTGATTGTTGGAGAACATCTAATATTTGTTGGTTTTCTTTTACCTTTTTCCCAATAATACTGCTGACAATATGACTGTAACTGGGGAGTGGAATTTTCCTATTTTTCTAATTCTGTTAATTTGCAAATGGGGGTGAAGTACAGCGAAAGAAGATACGTGGAGTTAATAAGAATCATTGTACCCCAAAAGTGATCCGTATCTTCATTTTATTCCCAATAATAAACTAAGAAGTTTATTCTTGGAATGAATTTCATTCTTTCAAGTTCCTCCAGTTCAGATACAATGTACCATATTTCTACAATTTTAAAATGTATGTAGCTTCTATATTTTACTATTTCTGAAGTCAGGGCATATTTTAAAATTGATCAATACATTTAATATGATGGATTATTTTTCTTGAAAAAAATCACTAATCAATATTGAATTTTATAATTAGTGAACTCATAATTAACAAAATAAGGTAGGCTTCCATTGCAGATAAGAAAGATTTGATTGTTTCTACAAAAGCTGAATTTAATTTAACTTTTTTTCTTACTTAATTTATTAATGAATCACAAGTCCAGTATTGATAATTGCTTTCTCCTCAAATTTTTTTTTTGTTTGCCAAAAGGCACATGACGTTTGCTTCCATACTTGTGAGAATATAGTAACACAAGACATTTTCAGCCTATGCAGACATTTAGCATTCTTTGCAAACATGATTTTTAGCAATCATCTGAGAGGTGGTATATAAAAAGTATTTTTTGTATTTGACTCATCATCAATGTAGTTTGCCAAAAATATCATCATTTGCAACAAATTCTTCTATATAAAGATGGTCTTTATATATAAACACTGTTACAAGGTCCAGTCTAATTATAATTACCTACTTAGGAATTGAAACTATAGAAAAAATTCATTTAATTATAATAAAAAAGCAGTAAGATGTAATTTCTTCTTAAAAAGAATATAATGGCTAAAATGGTTGATTAGCAGCCATCAAATGAATTCAACTGAGTAATTTTCAGTCAACTATTTTTTTAATCATCTAAAGCCAGTATGAGCCTCTCATTTGTGACTAAGCCTGACATGGACCTAACATTTAATCTAGCACCTATTGTAAGTCATTTTATTTTTGCATTTACATTTCATAACAACACTGTACAGAGGAGCTATTATGATTCTCATTTTCAATTAAGAAACTGGTTAAGTGAAATTAAATGCATTGCTCAAATTCATACTATTAGTAAATGACAGAGGTAGGATTCAAATCTGGCA